ACTTGAAGTTAAACAAGCAGCCATCCAACAGTGAAGCAACAAGCCCACATGGAAGAAGCACACCAGCCAGTGTGATCATGAAGTGTCATCGAGACTGGGCAACGGGCATCAGAAGATTCACAATAAACAGTAGACAAACAGACAAAAATGCATTGGTGAGAATGGAGAGGAGTTGGAGTGGAGACCCAAAGCCCATCTATGGACAATGGAACATCCCCCCACAGAGGGGTTGCAAGGAGAGGGTGAGTCGATTAGGGTACAATAGAGCACTAATGGGTCACGTAATATACCTCTGTTCCCTGGAGGCCTCCCCACCCTCTGCTATCATGACCTCAGTGCTGCCTCCCAATCTAGACTAGACGGGAGCATGTACATAGGTACAGGTAAGAGATAACACTCACAACACATGAAACCCAGGAGCAGGAGGGAATAGAGATACCAAAAGGACAGGGGGAAGGCAGGGAGAGATGGGAAGGGAGGGGGGCACTGATCGCAATGAATGGCACATAACCATGCCACCACCACCCCCACCCCACCCCCCCCACCCCCCGCCCCAGTCAGGGGGAAAAACAACAGAAACCAGAAGGGAAGGGAGAAGGCAATTTGAGTGAGATTTGAAAATAATTAACAATGTACAATCTATCAAGGGGCCATGAGGGTTGGGGTGGGGTGAAAGAGGGCTCAATGGAAAGTAAATGTCCAGAAAAGAACGATGGAATATATGTATGAATATGTTGGATACAAGTGATGTACGGTTTGTAACAAGAGTTGTAAAAGCCCCCAATAAAATGGTTAAAAAAAAACCCAAAACTCTAACCCTCCTCCCCTACAGCGCTGCCCTGGCTCTAGTGGAGAATCACCATGAACTCTCTTCAGTGGAGAGCCTAAAGTAAACTGAGGTCCAGAGTTATGAAGGAGTTACTTTAAATTCACAGAAGGCGGTCTGTACTTGGGGTCTCAACCTTCAAATGTCTGTTTCTAAGAACCACAGCGGGGAAGACATACAGCACTTGACTGCTGTGTGGGAGATGCTTTTAGCACTCCAGGGAGGCAGAGGATAGAAGGTCTATGTGTGGAGTGGGGGGAAGTCCCCTTTCCCTCTTAAGAGTCTGTCTCAGTTGATGCTATGGCAGTTGTTGCTGCCCGACCTCCCCCTCAGCTAACTCCCTTTTGTCAACCCAATGACACTGATCCTCCTTTTTAGAAGTATTATTCAGACAAGTGCAAAAATGGAGAGGAATTCAGGGCTGGAAATAGCCCCAGATGAGGGAGGGGGTGGAAGGCAGTACAAAGCCACTTGAACGATCTACACCCAGAGGACGGAGCCCCACGGTGGATGGGCCGCCTCCTATTTCAGTCATTTTCCACCCATGAGGCACTTCTGAGATTCATGACGGCACCCGACACACTTAGAAATGACTGATGGCCTTATGTACTGCTGAAATGGTGACACACTGACCGAGTCACCATACCCTCCCTTGTCTTGACCAGCTTGCAGGATTCCCAGAGTTTGGCGGGGTTGTTAGGTCAAAATCAGGGTCAGGAGGGGTCACTTTCTCACTTCTAGGCCCGAAGCTGGATTACCTGAGAGAAACAGGCTTGCTGAAAGCCCTGGGCGGAAGCGGAGAAGCCGCTTTTTCTCCAGGAGCCAGGGTGTCCTGGGTTCTAGTCAGAAGCAATGGCGGAAGCAGGCATCTGGTGAGGAAGGGAGGGGCTTGGTGCTCCAGTTCTCTTGGGCCTCGGTTCTCACAAACCTTCATTTCTCTCTCAGCTTCTCCATTTCTCCTGCCTTCCCCCTCCTCCAGAGGTCTCCTGCCTAGCCCCGTATCTCAGAAGTCAGAGTCAGGAAGAAAAATGTTCCTCCCTGCTACCACCTCAATCCACTTGGAAACTTCAGCGGAAACATTTGCCATCATGAGTTCCTACCCGACGGAAGAGAAATGGCCAGGGTTCTGCCACTGCCATGAACCACGGTCTCACCGAGTTTGCTCAGATGGAATTATCCACATGAACCCAAATCTACATATACCTGTATTATATATGCCTCTCAAATTTTCTGACCTACGTTCCAATTCTAGGAGTTTATCAGTACTCTCTACCCAGGAGAAAGGGCTCTAGGGCAGATCACAGGTGTGGGAGATTCCAGAACACGGCACCATGAGAAATCACCTCTGTGCTCCTGAGGCCTCCCTCCACTGCCCCTGGGGTCCACTTGCTCTGGGCATGGAGGGAGGAGGGTGATGGAAGAAATCCCTCGCTCCCTGACCCCTCTAAGGGCCACTCCTTTTTCCCTTATCTTTCTCCCCACTTCCCAGGCCAACTCTGAAGCTTTGGGCAGTTTGAGCTCAGAAGGACAGGAGGGGGAGGGCCCCACCACTAGAAGGTCCTTTGCACTCACATCTCTGGCCATCTAACGGCTGTGTTCTTCGGGTGTAGGGGTGACTGCTTGCCTTGGCTGCATGACAAAATAGCCAGAGGTTAGGGTGTGGAGCGTGATCTCGGGGGGGGGTGGGGGGGTGGAGGGGGGAACGGGGCTGGTTTTCTCCGACTCCATGGAGAATGACCAAGGAGATCCCCCCAGAGTGACTTCAGTGAGATTTGAACATGAGAGCCAGTCCAAGGCCAGACTCTCACTCTACCTCATTGTCTACAGGTGCAGGTAAAACCAGACAATGCTGATCCTTTGCGTTCTCAGGCCCGATTGGCTTTCTCCGCCCCCCACTCTCAGCAGATCCAGTCCCTTCCCCTTGTCATTTTGTTCTTTCCTTAGGTCACCCCAAAGGCGGGGCTATCACACTATGCTCTTCATACACAGTTTATCGAGTAATCTGCCCTAACCTCTGCCTTCTAGACAGGTGAGAAAATGAGGCACACACAGGCAAGTGGCTTACCCAAACTCGTTTACAGCCTCCCTGGGATTAGAAACCAGGCTTCCTGGACTTCTGTGCTCACTCTTGATAAAGTGTCCTTGCCTGCTTCCTCCCATCCTGCTAACACTCGCGCTCCACTGTCTGCTTCGACACTGTGTCCCTCAAAGTCACGAGATGCCACACCCTGTCCCGCTTCTCCCAGGTGTGTCCAGGACCTGGCACTCTGCCCTCCTCCTCTGTGACATTCCTGCTATCTAGCAGCGGCCTTCTGCAGACGCGGGGGTGCCGCATCACACCCTGGGTCCACGCGCTCTCCCAGCCGATTCCTTCCTCGTCGCCTGCTCTGGTTCTTCTCTGGACGCCCCTTTCTTCACTGCTCTTTCTCTCCTCACAAGCGTATCCAGCTATCACTGCAACTGTCACTCTCAGATGTCCCCACCAGGTGCCTCTAATCTCTCTTCTCCAACTTCTTCAAACTCCAGCTCTGCTTTTCCAGCCACCCTGAGGCACTCCTGTGGGTGCCTTGGGAGCACCTCAGATTCCAGCCCCAGCTCAAACCCACGTTCTTCCTCCTCCTTTCAAACAACAGCAGCGACAACAAGCACCACCACCACGGCATCCTCCTGACTTTCAACCCCACCGCCGGGTTCTAAGCCCTTATTAACTTGACCTTCCCGGGCCGTCCCAGGTACTTTCTCTGGTGAAAAATGGAACATGCCTCTGAGCCTGCAGGTCCTGTGGACCCAAGGAAAATGGATCCAAACAGGAACCATCTTAAAAAACCCAGAGTCCCTGTTCCATGCCTAAACGCCTTGGCAGGTAGGAGAGCTGGGCTTTCCCACGCTCTGGCGTGAGTCGCAGAGAAGAGCCTGACGTTGCAGGGCGCTCACATCTGCTGGGAGGGAACGCAAGGAAGGGGATGACTCAGCCCCTTGTTGCACAGCGAGGCCGAGATGAAAACATGCCCGCCCGGCTTTATGAGTGGCCAGATTCCTACTTCTGGGTCACTCATCTGCACTAACTAGCCTTCAAGAAGGAGGGGGGCCTTCAATAATTTAGGGAGACATGGAATGAAACGATAATGGAATTTTCCCAAGAACTTTTGGAAACCCCCTCGTATGCTCACAGTCTTCTGAGGCAACTGCCAACTTGTCCAGAGACAGCTGTTAGTGGGTGTTTGAATCTGATGGGGAGAGAGATGGAATTGGCCAGGGTCTGAGGTCAGAGGCTCAGGGCAGTGAGCAGCACAGGATGAGGGTCAGGAGGCCATGTAAGAGCCGACTGAAGCTATCCTAGTCCCTAAAGGGACCCCAGCTTCTCCAGGAGGATGGGGGACTTTCCCAGGCTGCATGGGTACCATGCGGTGGTGTGTGCACCGTACCAAGTGGTGGCTGGCACAGGGAGATGCTCAAATGACACAGCATGCTACTATTATTAATGAAAGCTCAGTTTATTATTAATCAAAGGAGTATTATTTTCCCCAGTATCATTCTGGGTCAGATATTTGCTGGTGAATTATCCCTGGCTAGTTAGGGCCACTTCAAAAATCTCCAATCTGCCATTTCTTCAGTGGGTCACTTTGACCCGGCAGCTAAGTGTGGACTCACTGGGAGGGGGCGTAAGCCAAAGAGGAGGACTGAGCTTATGGCCTTTGATAATGCCACCATCTAGTGATGGCAGTCGCCCTTGCTGTGGGGCTCCGAAGACAATACAACTCTGGGAAAGGCACACGTTCTACCAACGCCATTGCAGACATGAGAAAACGTGAGCCCACAAGGACTCCGTGACATGCTTACGCTCATCAAGCTCCTAAGCAGCCAAACGGTTCCCAGTGCCTGGCTTCTAGGCCCGGTGTATCCTCCCTGCTGCCTGCCCCCCGCTGCCCTTCCTCTTGTGCAACCTGAAGCTTCTCCCTCCGTTTTCAGTACAACTGACAGTCCACAGGGGAAGAGCCACAGTGAGGGGATATGCGCAGTGGGGGTCCTTTTCCACAGGTGTCCCCTGAGGGAGGCGCCATCTGCTTAGAGATCAAATGCCAACCCCAGGACACAGCTTTGTCCCCATGGGTCAGAGCAGCCCCACGAGTGTGTGCCTTTGGCTTTGAGTTGGGGAAGTGGAAAGACTACTCACGATTTGTCTCGTCTGCCCAGTCGTCTCGGGGGGCTGGCCTGCCTCCTTCGGGGGGACAGGGATTTCCCTCGGCTTCTCACCTGGGTAGGAGAGTGGGCACTTGCAGGTTTCAGGATCTGAAAGAAATAGGAGGTGTCACCATAGTAGTTCCTACAGCACACCCCCTAGCTCACTCACGACCCCATCGTACAGGAGGCTGAGCAGAAAGATGTCCAAGGGCGGAGGGCAGAGGCAGAGGTGGTGTTTTCTCATTCTGCACCTGCAAGAAGGTCCGTCCCACTTTCCCGAGGCTTTCCAGGGCGGAGAGGAGCCCAAGGCTTCGGCCTCCTGGGGCTGCGTCTAGTGGTCTAGCCAGTCCTCTCCTTCACTGACTCTGCCCCAGGAACCAGCTTGCTCTTCCTCCAGCCCGCCCATCCACGCTCATGCGCAGAGTGGTTTCAGCTTGTCCAGAAGCTCCACTCCAAGCCCCACAGAGGGGCAAGGACAGGTCCTCACACGTGTCCAAGCTTGAAGACCCCATACTAACCTTTCTCCTCAGGATGCACAAGCCGTCTCCCAGTGACTCTAGCCCTGGAGGGATCAGGACAGAGAGGCATCACGTCCCCTTGGAAATGATACCGGTTGAGAGATGAGTTTTTGAGCCTGGACTTTATAGGGCCTATGTAGGAGATGCTCCTTCATTTGTTACTGACACCATATCCTAACTTTACAACAAAGGGGGTTTGAGCTCACAAAGCAGAGCAGACCTATCATGTGACTCTGTGCCCTGTAAACTCCAGCTTGCCTGGGATTCTCCTGGTTTTAATACTGAAAACTGTCCTGGGAAACGCCTCTATTCTGAGAAAATGAATGGCTGCTCACTGAGTGATAAGGTCAAAATAGGGCAAAAATAAAGTTACACTATAAAATGAAGCTCAGCTTTTCCATCTCATTTTCAAAAAGAAATGCAGGCCCAGACATTTAAGTGTTAGGTCTATTAATTATTTTAGCTCTGATTTTTTTTTGAAACACAGCAATGATTGTGATGATGGCACAGGACCAAACAATGTTTCATTTTGTTATACCAATTGCAAGGTTTCAACAAGCTAATGAAGCACTGGAAGCATTCACTCCTCCATGCCAAGAAATTTGGAAGACAGCTACTTGCCCCACCTAACTGGAAGAGATCCATATTTGTATCCATTCCAAAGAAAGGTGACCCAACAGAATGGGAAAATTACAGAGTTGTATCAGCGATATCACATGCAAGTAAAATTTTGCTGAGGATCATCCAACAAGGATCGCAGGATTACTCAGACACGGAGCTGCCAGAGGTTCCGGCCGGATTCAGAAGAGGATGTGGAACAAAGGATATCATTGCTGGTGTCAGCTGGATCTTGGCTGAAAGCAGTGAGTACTAAAGCGATGTTTACTTGTATTTTATTGACAGCGCAAAGGCATTGGACTATGTGAACCTTAGCAAACTATTGACAGCCTTGAGAATACTGCGAATTCCAGAACCCTTCACGGTGCTCATGAGGAACTTGTACATGGATCAAGCTGTATGAACAGAATAAGGGGATACGGTACGGTTTAAAAATCAAGAAAGCTGGCTCAGAAGCAACAAAGCCCACATGGAACAACATATCAACCTGTGTGATCACGGGGTGTCGAACGGATCACTGAAGACAAATGGGTGCA